TCAGAGCCGATCGATATTTGTCCTTAAACCAAATAAACCGGTGATTTCTTGGTTTCCACGCGATTGTTTTCCATTTGCATGAGATTATGCCCCCAATGGCAGAATCCGTATGAAGTTTTCCGCAAACAATATACATGTAAAATATATATAAAATCAAAATCATATTTGAAAATTTTAGGTTAGTGTTTACATGTGTGTACGGTTTTGTCATGAGATTATGACTGGATCCGTTAATCTTCAGATAAATTGATCAAAGCAAAGGCAGAAAACCCTTATTTTCCAAATTCGACAAGGAAGATGATGCCAAACGCTCAGAGCCGTGCCTCTACCTTTAAAAAATAGGCAATTGCCTAGAGCATATGCAAGGGGGGAACACTTGGTGTGTTCTTAAGGGTTTTAAAATAATAAAAATGTTGAATAGTGGATACAACTGTTCTTAAAATTATAAAAACTGTTCTTCAGGAAGAACAGTTTGCAGGATAAGTTAGAACTGTTCTACCACTGTTCACCTTATTTCCTATTTTTAAATCCTAAGAACACACTCAAAAGTTCCCTCCTTGCATATGGTTTAAGGCCACATCAAAATGGAAAAATAAAAGGCCACATTTTATTCCAAAATAAGCTATTTATTTAGATTGATATTTATGTATTTGAAGTTCTCTGTTTAAGAAAATGAATGCAGCTAAAATTATGTTGTGAAAGAGAGGTTAAATAGTTTGATTTTCATATTTATAGTAAATAAATTGGTTCAAATATTTTATTTGGTGAGTTTTGCGAATGAAAATAAAAGAAGAGACATATATTAATGTTTAGAATTTCTATATAATAAATTTCCACTTATTAACCTTTAGTACATTTTAAAGATAATACTAAAAAAAAATTTTTAAGAAGGCCACAATTTTTAAAACTGCCTTAAGCCTCTATACCTCTGGGCACGGCACTGCAAACGCTGTTGCTAAGGGGAAAAGTTGTTGCAGTCTGATTCGATTCAACACATTCACAAGGAGAAATGATGATATATTTTTGTTTTTGAAAAATTGGTGAGAGTTTGATTGGAATTTTCTATAAAGTGGGGGTGGGTGGTGCTGGATTCGTGCTAGCCACTGCTAGGTATGGTATGTGTAATGTGTTGATGAGAAGATTTTGTCAAGAGTAAAAAATTCGACAATACTAATTGATAGCCGTAAGACAATCAATGATTGTTTTGTTTTTACCTTTTTGCTCAGTTGGTCTGTCATCAACTTTCAAGGCCCCAACCAAAGGTTCTGATATATGCGTTCACGAGCTTGAATATGGACTTGAAACACCTCTCAAAGTCCAGGCCCTTCTTAGTATATTAATGGGTCCTTAGCAAAACCAAAAGAAAAAGAGAAAGTCTTTAGTAAAAATTTTATTTTTTAAATGAAACAGAGCAAAACATACTTGAAATGTTTAATTAATCTTCATTGTTTGGTAGGTGATATTGATAATGATGGCATTTGGTTTTTAAGTTTGAAATGATTGTATTTTGCATCATGTTTGGAAAATGTAGTTAAAGTGGAGTTAACATTTCTTTGACCGAGTCAAAGTTAGGCATTGACCCGAAACACGTACAAAAGAACTGTTTGCTGTTCAGATTTTAGAAAAGTAAACTACGTGTCGTCTTAGATATAATCATACCAAAGCTGCAAGTACATGTAATGTGTAACCAAACAAACTAATAATGGAATGTTGTGTCAGGAGAAGAACCCTACTTGTTGACACATATACACCAAGAGTATGGGTCACTATGTGGGATCCATCAAATTTAGCCATTAGTGTGGATCAACCCGAACTCGACACGTTGAACCAAAGGACGAAACATTGAATGGAGAAAAGTGGAGAAAAAACGGTTCGATGATGATGAATGAACCATCTTCCTAGAAAAAGAAAAGAAAAAAGATATACCTAACACACGAAGGTGTCTTATGACATCATCACACCAACTTTGAAAATGAAATTATAGGAACGAGAGAAATTTGATTTCAAAGATGTTCAATAAATGAGAACTTCTTCCCCCAATTTGATTATTAGAATTTAAGAGTTGTTTTATTTGGTTTTGTCACACTTATTTAAGTTTCTTTTTCTTGTAGTTTCTTTTGAATTTTAATTGATACTAAAGTGTTTTTTCTTTCTTTAACCACAAAAGCAACCACTCTTTCAACCATAAAAAGGAAAAGGAGAAAGCTTGTTACTTGATAACAATTGGATATATGGAACAGTAGTGTGTCTTTGTTGCTTTCTTGTGTCTATATAATTTATTGTCTCATTGTCTAAGTTGCATCACAAAGTGAAACAAGAATGAGTTAGCTTGAACCACACGTTCATCTTCCGAGAAATAAACTTACTTTCTCCCAAATTCACAAGAGAAAAAAAAGAAGTAAACTTATTTGGCTAAGAGAATGGAAATAGTGAAGTCGAGGTTCAAGAGGGTTTGTGTGTTCTGTGGTAGCAGCAGCGGAAACAGAGAGTGCTACAGAGATGCCGCCACTGATCTAGCTCAAGAGCTGGTTCGGTTTTGCTTAAATCTTAGTGAGAGTCTTGAAAACCTGAAATGGGTCTTGATTTTTCTCTGTTTTGTGAAACAGGTGACGAGGAGATTGAATCTTGTGTATGGAGGAGGAAGCATTGGTCTCATGGGTTTGGTCTCACAAGCTGTTCATGAAGCTGGAGGACATGTACTAGGGTATGCTCAAATCTATGACCTCTTCACTTTAGTTTTATGCCCTCCACTGCTTTATTATCGATATAGTTGTGTGATTTGCTTCCATCTTGCTTTGCTTTTATGGGTTAGGATCATACCAAGGACTCTTATGGACAAAGAGGTAGGCTTAAATTATGTTTGAGCTAAAATGATTACTTTGTTTTCAAAAAGAGTTGTCCCTGAAAAGTGATTTTATAACAGATAACCGGAGAAACATATGGTGAGGTAAAAGCTGTGGCGGATATGCATGAAAGGAAAGCCGAAATGGCACGCCACTCGGATTGTTTCATTGCATTACCAGGTACATAATAACTAACTAGCGTAGATATCTAGCAAAACATGAAAATGTTTTGTCATTCGTTAGGATAAAAACTTGAAACTAGGTAAATTTTGATCTTTCTTCCAAAACAAGACTCATTTGTAATTGACTTTTAATTTCTCTGTTCTTGCAATGGTTATCAGGTGGGTATGGAACACTGGAGGAGTTATTGGAAGTAATAGCATGGGCACAACTTGGAATCCACGACAAACCTGTAAGTAAAATAAACCAAATCACTTTCCACTGTTGGAATTGCTCTCTGAATCACACTATAGCCAAAAGTCTTGATCTTTCGTGTTTCCACTTTGGGGGAAAAAAACTGCAGGTGGGTTTGTTAAATGTGGATGGTTATTACAATTACCTCCTTACTTTCATTGATAAAGCCGTTGATGATGGCTTTATCAAGCCATCTCAGCGTCACATCTTTGTCTCAGCCCCTAATGCCAAAGAGCTTGTCCAAAAACTTGAGGTGGGTACCCACCAAAATATTGCCTTGCTTTTTCTCTTGAGATTCTGATGAAGATTACAAAGACAAGAACTTTGATTCGAGAAATCCATCTTTTGTTTTTTTATCTTCCTCAGGCATATGAGCCAGTGAGTGATGGAGTCATAGCAAAATCTAGGTGGGAGGTTGAGAAGAAAGTGCAACAGCCGCAACAAGTAGTGTTCTGTTCTAACACAAGCATGCAGACTGAGATTGCTCTTTAGACTTTTAGAGGGTCTTTTGTCTAAGAATTTAAAGTTTAGGGATATAATTATGAGAAATATTTAAGTTTGTTGTGCTTTCGGGTTTCTTTGTCCCTCTTGAAGAAACCACCTGTATCAAACTTTCAACAAACTGATTCCACCAAAAAACACAACCTGAAAACATTAGCATTGAATCTTGGCCAATTCTTTGTAGAAAATGAACACACAATCTCTTGTGTTGTATGAAGATCAGAAACAACAACACAAACCATCACAATGATACTTTGTGATTGCAGCGGGATAATGACAAAACGTCAACAAGATTTTGAGTGTTCATGAATGATGATGTTTGATTTTTGATTCCATAACCAATGAGCCACAGACTTGAGCTCATGTCTTTCTTGAATCAGAAATCAATCCTTTACCGGTGAAACGAGCCTCCACCTTCAAAGGATCCAACTTTCCCCCAAATAGACCTACGGAGCAGGAATCGACTGATCCATTGGATCGGAGAATCTCTCTGCTCTGATGAATCTGATATACAGTAATGTAATATATTTTAGGTACCGAAAGATCTTTAATTGAACCCGATAAAATCAATTTCAAAAACTTTAACTAAACCCGAACTCGAACCGGTTTGACTATGAAACCCAGATAATATATAGTGGCCTTTGGGTCCCAGTTTATTTGGGTCCTAGTGTATGGGATATTATTAGTTTTAGTATAATGGTTTAAGCAATTTAAATGGGCCCTAATTCAGGTTCCATCAGTTTTATTAATACAATTTTTTAAACCATAACTATTTTAACTTTTATTTCCTCGATCTTTTTCCGCCACTTTATGCTTTCTCATCTTAGGTGAATAATTTACAACTTAATTTGTTTTATTTTCTCAAATTTGTTTTATTATATAATTTGTTCTTTATAATTGTCTCTTGATTCACGATTAATAGTGACTGTAATGGTTAACTCCTAATTTTTGGTGATAGTTAACAATTTTAATTCTTATTAGGAGGTAATATGTTCATACCAAAAAAAAAATTAGGAGGTAATATGTCTACTCCTAATCTTTGGTAGAAAAAATAATAGAATTTAAAGGAATAAAATTCTGTAATAGATCTTTTTGTTAATATTTTACACTTTATTATTATTGTTTTCGGTTTTAATGTATTATTTTATTTTTCACTAGATTATAATTGTCGTACAAATTTCTTACAAACAAACATAAAAATTTAAACTCGGCTCAAACCTTTAGAAACCTTAGCACGATCATGCATGGTTCGTGACTAGAATTATTGATCTATACCAATCGTATCAAGCAATTGGAGTTGATGAAGGAGCACTCGAAATATTCCATTCCAAAAACATACACTTCGGAATCTGCTTCTCGCGCCTTTGCAAGGACTCTTTGCCCCATTGTGATCTTCTTTGTTATACTTCTCGCCAAGATGGCATGGTCAAAGGCTAAGGATACCCATAAGGAATCTCAAAGGGAAGCGGATCTCAAAAGTCGTTTTGCAACTCTGAGGAAACATCTGAAAGACATGGTTCGTGATGAGATTGAGAAAATGGAAGGTAGGATGACAGGGATTGAAGGTGGGATCGAAAATGTTAGGGAGGAGCTGTCTAAGAAGTAAGGAGAAAGAGGCATGATCTTTATGATTAGGATCCAACCATTCCTCAAAAATGGCATTTTCATATACAATTCTTCTCATGCTTTTATGTTTCAGGAACTCATAAAGATGGAACAACACAATGTCGTACGTGATATGAATATGGAGCTTATAAGGAACAAGCAGCTGAAAAGGGATCACAGATATTTTTCAAGGAATGTACATACAGTTGAAGTGAAACTTATGTCGATTTGATTGCCTGATAGGTTGTCATTATCCAAGTATCTTTCTTTAACACTTTTCATTCTATTTTGTTTTGGGACTCCATGTGTGTTTGTTTGAGACTTTGAGTTGTGAATTAGACTCATGTTTGTCTCTCTGAGACTTCAAACTAGTATCAACTACTATGATGGTTCATTGAAATTGAGTGCTAGGATTGAGCTTGCTCTTTGTTTTGAATGATGGCTGCTTTATAATTCTAGTAATTTGGCATGGATATGCTACTAATCCCTTGTTCTGGCCTAGAGTTCCATAGTTTTTAAGGCTGGTATTGGTGATAGATGAGCCGATTCTTGTAATCTATTACCTTCTCTGCAGTTTTTCTGTGCCCATCAAATCCTTGAAGATATCTCTTTCCTTTCTAGTTTCTCTTAGGATATTATAATAATAGACGCTCTTGTGTTTTGGAAGCCTGGCTTTTGTATTGGATCACATTCGTGGAATATATATAGCTATCAAAAGTTTCTCTGTCTTGTGTCTGTCACTTTGGTTTACTCAGGTCTATGACCTGTCTGATTCACTTCTGTGCCTTTTTTTTATTCTCGCATACCGATCATTGTTCCATATTTATGTGCTTTTGCTTGAAAGGGTCACGAACCCTTTTGGACAAAGAGACTACTACTGTTTATCTTAAAGACTATTGTTTCAATTGTACACTACCAAAGAGTTTCAACAACTTCTTTCTTGTTTTCTGAACTTTTTTTTTGTTGTTGTTCTTATATTTCGAAAGAAAGAAGAAATGAAAGAGCATAGTCATATGAAAGAATCTTGTATTAGTATATGTGTGTTAACATTTATATCTCCTATTTGTACAAAAATTTGTGGGCACAATGACTTATTAGATGTTAAGGATTGAAACTCTGTATTTGATTAATGATTTAGAGAGTGACTCAATTCCATCTTCAAGATCTTGAATGCATGACTCTAAGTTCTGCACATCCTCCACTGCAACGACTTTTCGGTTTGGAACTCAGAATCAATCCTTGTGAATTCATTTGCTTCTGCTTCACATGTAACTTTGTTTTGGCTCATCATCTTTGAGACCAATGACCATTTCCCACAAGCCTTTGATCCGGACATGAAGCTAAACAAAGATTCAAACAGAGCCATTGTTACAGCTTCTGCTTCTCCAAATGCAATGGCTCTGTTGTTAGAGCTGTTCTTTGTTTTGAGAAGGCTTAAAGAGCTAAAAGATGTAGTGTCCTACTTTCATAATCTCTCTAGTCATCTCATATATACACCTTTGAGAGGGGAGAGACAAGAGGAATCTCAAAGCTGGCTCAGATTTAAATCATAAAACCCTATGTTTGTGCAATGTGTCCCTCCAACCACTTATCTCAATGCATAAACAATAAGAAAAAAGATATGATTAAGATATGGATTCTCATATAAAATGCAAAATAATCTTATAAAGAATGCAACCGCACGAGCGACTCTGCACTTACACGTCTAGTTTTCATTAGAAACTGCAGAACCACTTGGCTTTTGTCTCCTTGGTAGCAAGATCCTTATTCCTCGATTTTGACATGTGAACTATCATACTCACTACAACTTGTGATTTTGTTTTTATTCTATCATATTTGTTGTTTCCCAACACACCAACATTTTTCAGACTTATTATTGTAACAACGTGTGTATTTCAGAGATGCCTTTATAAAAATATACATATAAAGTTCAGTGGCCTAAGCTGTTAAACTCACATAATTAAATATTGCAAATTATGTTTATCCTTGACATTTAAACTTGTTTTTGTTCATAAGCTTTTGAACAGAGAAGAAAACAGAGCAATTGCAAGTGCTTCTGCTTCTCTGTAACACAACCAAGTGATTCATCATCCATGTTCTCTTTATTCTAGAAAACCTTAAACGACTTGATTGCTTTTTGGATTTTATTTTTATATAGAGAAGCCTTTGTCTCTTGATAACAAGAAAAGGCCATTACAAGAAAAGACAACTACTTCTTCTGCATTCATCACTTTTGCAGTCCATTCATATATACAATCAAAATTGGAAGACCTCATGAATATTTTTCTTATTAATGACTATTAGCTATGTTTATGAATTTCCCCCCTCCATAAACATATGATGTGATTCATATTCAAGAAAAAATGCAAAATAATATTTGAATATAAAACAAGAAATGAATGTGCACGACGGATTCTGCACCTTATTGGCTTAGTTTAAGGCAAATCCAGAAAGGCTTGTCTCGTTGGAGTTGATGGTAACAACACCATGATATTAGTATATTACAGTTCATGACACAACTACAATAGCCTTATAAATACTTGAAACAAATCAAAGTTTGCAGTGTAGGAGGCAGACAATATCTGCATACATTGATGTATCCACGAGTGGTACTAATATCATATTATTTATAGAGACAAGCCTTGCTGGTAGTGCATGTTACTACACAAATAAGATGCAGAATCGTAGATAATTCATGTGATCAAATTTGAATCATAGATATTGCATTTGTACATTGGATGATGCGTTATGGTGAGTAGTTGGAGGGAGACATTGCACAAACATCGGTTTCTATTATTCAGATTTGAATAACCATAAGATTCCTTCCTTAAATGATGTATATATGTCTAGACCGGAGAGCCATTGAAGACAGAACAAACATCTAAGCATTTTCTTCATCTCAAAACAGAGAAAGAAAGCTAAAAAAAAAAAAAAATGGCAGTCTCCTTTCATGTTCGATCAAGCAGCTACCCTTCAAGGCAACACCCTCAAGCCGCTCATGTCGATGAGCAATTGACCCGATTGAGATCTTCTGAGACAGCTTCTTCATCTTCTATCTGTCAGAGACTTAGCAACCTTCAAGACTTACATGATTCTCTTGAAAAGATGATTCGCTTATCTGTCACCAACCAGGCTTTATCTGAAGATCAGATTGAGAAGCTTCTTGATGGATCCATCAAAATCTTGGACCTATGCAACATTGCTAAGGATGGTTTGTCGCAAATGAAAGAGAGTCTCAAGGAGATCCAATCGATTGTAAGAAGAAAGCGTGGAGATCTATCCGCTGAGGTCAAGAAATACTTAGCCTCAAGAAAGTTTCTCAAGAAATCATTCGAAAAAGTACTCAAGAGTTTAAAAACAAGCCAAAACAAAAACGACGCTTTGGCTGTGTTTGGAGAAGCAGAAACTGTAACAATTGCTTTGTTTGAAAGTCTATTTAGCTTCATGTCCGGATCAAAGGCTTGTGGAAAATGGTCACTAGTCTCAAAAATGATGAGCCAGAGCAAAGTTACAAGTGAAGCTGAAGCAAATGAATTCACAAGAGTAGACATGGAGTTCCAATCCGAAAAGTCGTTACAAATGGAGGATGTGCAGAACTTAGAATCATGCATTCAAGATCTTGAAGATGGAATTGGGTCACTCTCTAAATCATTGATCAAATACAGAGTCTCTATTCTTAACATCTAATAAATCATTTTGCCCACAATGTTTTTGTACAAATAGAATATGTAAATGTTAACTAACACAAAACTAATACAATATTCTTTGATACATTAAGTTCTACCATTTCTTCTTTCTTTCTCAACGTAAGAACTCGAAAATTCCAAGGAACAAGAAGTTTACAACTTTTACGGTTGCACTTGTTACATCTTCTATTATATAGATTATTGGAAAAAATTACTTTACTGTATGAATTCTGGTATCGTATGCTTCAATGAGACAATGGGTTTGCTTGCATGTGTCAACTAGTAGACGTTACTTTCGCACCAAGCAACTATTTGCTCTGTTTTAATTGTCATAACGTTTTGGGCCTATAAATAATTCAGGCCCATAAATTAAATAAACCCAAAATGGTCAAAATCAATTCATCTTCTTCGTGATGATCGAAATCACCAACCAGTGACCTAACAATGGCCGTTCCTCCATTATTCTTCCTCCTCACACTCCTCTCTCTCCCTTCTCTTCTTATCTCCGCCGCTGCCTCCGATGCCTATCCTTCTATTCCCGGAACCGCTCCTATCGACGGAGGTTTCACCGATGAACTTAAACCCATCCGCCGTGAAGTCTACGGCGAAGGCAAAATCTACGACATCAGTCACCGTTACACTCCGGAGATGCCGTCGTGGGATTCATCGGAAGGAATCGGACGGTTTCTATGGTTAGCTGCGAGTATGAAGAATGGATCTCTCGCTAATAACTCTGAAATGAAGATCCCTACGCACACTGGTACTCATGTTGATTCACCTGGTCACGTCTATGACAAGTATTACGATGCTGGATTTGATGTTGACTCGCTTGATCTTCAAGTCCTCAATGGTATGATCTACAAATCCATTTGTTTTTTTTTTTTTTTTTCATTTTTGTATTATCTCTCAATTTGGTGAAGGATTTGGATTTTGCTTGTAGGTCTTGCGTTTTTGGTTGATGTTCCAAAGGATAAGAACATTACTGGTAAGTTGCGACTTTGATTGATTAAATTGATTGACTTCATAGTTTTGTGTGAGGTAGTGATTAGAAGACAGTGATGAGTGCTAATAAGAAGTTTTTGTTTAGACAATGATATTATTCTTTATATTGATTTGATTGTGTAGCTGAAGTGATGAAATCTCTTCACATTCCAAAAGGAGTTAGTCGTGTGCTTTTCAGAACATTGAACACTGACAGGTAATATTGATTCTAGAACTTACCAGTAATAAGCTTGTGAATTTCTGAAATGAGTGAAAACGTTTCAGGCGTCTTATGTTCAAGAAAGAGTTTGATACAAGCTATGTCGGATTCATGAAGGATGGTGCGCAATGGTTGGTAGACAACACAGACATCAAACTTGTTGGTAATAATCAAACTATTCACCTTTTCATATGGAGGTTTATGTTCTCCTTGTTTATATGAAGATTTGATCTTTTGACATAGAATTGTTGGTTGTGTATTGGTGAAGTGATCTCTAAGCTGAGTTTTGGTGTATCAATGTCAAAATATAGGGATTGATTATCTATCAGTAGCTGCATATGATGATCTTATTCCGTCCCACCTAGTATTCCTGAAAGACCGGGTAAGCAAGCATATATCCTTAAGTTTTGCTAACTAGATGAATCCGAAACAGTGTAGATTTGATATTGATGGTTGAGAAAATTGTTAAAACCTTGACAGGAGACTATACTTGTGGAGGGACTGAAGCTGGATGGTGTGAAGGCAGGACTCTACTCTGTCCATTGCTTACCTCTACGACTGGTTGGAGCAGAAGGATCTCCAATTCGTTGCATCCTCATCGATTGATTCTCTCCTCACAAACCCGCCAAATCCGGAATTTTCTGTAATCAAAAGCTTGCTTAGCTTATGAACTGACTATCAGTTTGTGCTAGATTTATGCAACCAATATGGAGATTGAAGTATGAAGTAATAAGAGAGGTGCAGAGAAGACGAAGTTGAGGAGAATGAAGCACCGAGGAAAAAAGATTTCTCATTTCAATGTATATGTCAATAAATTAATTAAAAATTCTCTTAATCTGACAAAGTTGTACTCCTAATTATCAAACTGTGATTCTACAGAAAAAAAAAAAAAAAAAATGAAGAAAAGTTTATAACATATAAATCCTTGTTGAAATAGGATTTTGTTTTCCTGATCATATTCAGATTGGGTTTGTCTTTAAACCTTCTCTAATCTCTCTATAGATACAGAAGGTCATACTCGCTCAAGTAAAACATTCCAATTAACACGCATAATAAGAAAGAGCAAAATACTTTTTCTGCAACTAGATATCATCAATGGCCTTCTATCATTGGTTTTGTTCCACGATTAGCTTTACTATAAGCTTTGTGTTACATTACATAAATAAAAGGGTTTATCTTAAAGTTGGGGAAAAATATGATCAATAATGTTAAATGGGCTTACAAAGAATGAGAGGGAGAGGCCTTTTATATAATGGGCCCATTTAAGTTATTAACAATGTCAACAAATAAAAACTCCCACATCGGCTAGGTGAAGACAAGAAGCTGCGTTTATAAAGGGTTGGAGTGACAGAAGTGTTCGTCCCTTCGGGGACATCTGATAAAATTGGAACGATACAGAGAAGATTAGCATGGCCCCTGCGCAAGGATGACACGCATAAATCGAGAAATGGTCCAAGTTTTTTTGGCAAAATTTTCCAGATCGGTTTTGAGTAAACTTCCATTAGCGTCTATGTAGTTGGATTTGAAAAGCATTTTATTTGGATAAATGTGTCATGAGCCTAACATTGATTTGCACAGCAAAATCACTCAGTTTCCACCATGTGAAGTCTGAGTTTGAAGAGCAGAACATGATCGATGAAAAGAGCAATTTGTATTTTCGGAACTTTGTCCATTAAAACTTACAACACGTATTGCATACACACCAACATCAATTGTTTTCTCTCCCTATGGTTACATTACATCCCCAATCAACAATCACAGCAACAAGTTTTAACCGGTTTTTTTTTCTTTTCTTCTTCTTAAAAAGAATTCTTGAAGCTCATCAAATTTTACAACACGATGTAACACTTTGTGTCTCAAGAATCAAGATCATCTGCCGCCTCGTTGTCTCTTCTCTTCAAGCTGAGCTGCTTCGTTCAACATATCGGCTGCGTCTGTGTTCATGTTCAGCTTCGCTAATGCCACAGACTGCATGTAGAAAGCCGTTGGCCAATCCGGATACACGCATTGTGCTTGCATCGCGTCGCGTAATGCTGCATCTGGCTGATCACATAGTAAGTAGCATAGACTTCGCCGACCAAATACAGTTGGAGACACCATTGTTCCAACGTCAATGAACTGTCCACAGAAGCAATGTATGTAACCATATGAGTTCTAATGATATCCAGATAGATTTGTTTTTGGCAAATCTGGTTTTAACCATAGCGGAAAACCCGATAGAAATACCGAACGGAACAGAACGGATTGGACATGCAAAAAGAAGTAGCCAGGAAATCAATACCTGTGAGTAACAGTCGATGGCTGTTTTAAAATCTTTTTCGCGGAAAGATTGATCACCGCGTTTCCGTGCATCAAGCATATCTTTCATCTGTTGCGTCCATTCTTGGAATGATAACTGAAATCCATAGATAAACCCCAAGAGTTAATTAAGACTCTTTTTAAAGCGTTTTAGGATCTGAAACCAAAACTATCATTTGAGTACCTCGTTTGTGCCTTCGTCGTCTCTGTAATGTGTCATGACCAAAATCTGATGAATAGCTGTGAGATCCATTCTTGAACAGGCCTCACCTAATGGCGAAAGTGGTCTCTGTGGAGTCGAAGGTGCTTCCTCCTGCTTCTTTATTCCAAGCATCACATAAGATGGAACCTGTAACCAAAATTTTTACCACCTAAAATAAGAATTTAAGAACTCAGTCAAAATTGGGAGTTTCAAGAAATCTAGCTTACGTCTGATTTAGTTTGCAATGGTGCAAGTGTTGCAACAAGATCTTTTGTATTTGGTCTCTCTCGAGGCTCATATTGCAAACATTGAGAGGCGAGTTCGACAACTACAGTAGCCTCTTCTGTTGAGAACTTTCCTTCGAGGTGTGAATCCATCAAGAGAATAATATTCTTGCCCCGTATCATATCGAGAGCCTAAAGAAGGAGATATCACACACTTTAATTAATATCACAAATATTGAATTGTACTATATGACATGGACATTTTTCAAGATTAACTATGCAAGAACCAAGAATCACCCACTAAACTAACTACCTTGCCCATATCTCAGCTAATTTCAAGAGAGACGGTGAAGGAGCAGTATTATACAGTTTATAGAAACCATCATCAATGACCAACTACGGTAGCTTCACATAACTTCAAACAAAATCAGGACCACTGAGAAGATAATTTCACCAAAACACTCACACACACATTCAAGTGGTAGTACACTTCTTCCTACTAAAACATATAGATAGGAACTTACATGGCTTGGAGGGATGTGCTTTCCGCTAAGCAAATCCAGAAGGACAGTTCCAAAGCTATACGTAACACTTTCAGGTGTCACTCTTCCTGCAACACAAAATTCAACAAACTGAGATCCTTCTTTGCTTTCTAAATTTGTTATATGTTGATTGTAAAATAATCCATAAGAAAAGGAACAAGTTGATTCACCATTTCTTAGATATTCAGGTGGTGTATATGCTAGATTTGTGCTATAACTTTTACCATCTCTACTGTTCTTCATCAAGCCAAAACATGAGAGACGAGGATCACCATCCTACAATATTTCATTCAAAATAAGCACCGCCTCAAGATCACAACGAGACAGTAGATCTTGTAAACACTTACTAACTCTTGAAAAGTGAATAATACCTCATCAAAGAGAACCCTATAAGCATTCAAATCATGGTACAATGGACGACCCTCAGTACTACAATAATCCAAAGCTTCAGCTATGTAATATCCTACTCGCAACCTCATAGCCCATTCGATAGTCTGATTTTCCCCTGTGAATGACCAAAACAACAATAAGATAAGAAACAAAAAAATCACCTTTAAGACATTCTAATTCACCTAAAGTAGTCTCTTTAATCCATCTAACAGCACAACACCATAAATGCAAGCTCCTAACATTACTAAAGTTGACAGCTTTAGGCAAGAGGCAAGAAAAGAAGAAGCATACAATGGAACAAATGCTTAGCAAGAGTATCATTAGGCATGAATTCAGCAACAAGAAGCCTCTCATCTCCATCACAACAATATCCAATCAAATTTGCTAATCGATTATGCCTCAATTTCCCCACACCCCATGCTTCTTCCTGAAACAACAAAAAAAACAGATTTCAGAAAAAAAAAACAAAGAAAGATTTAATCAAATTAAAAGGTTCTGTTTTTTTTGGATTACCGCGAATTGTTTAGGCTCAGGCCAAGCCATCTTAGTAAACTTCTTGACGGCGATCCAACGACGGTTCTGAAGTCGGCCTTTGTAGACAAGATTTGGGGCTTTCTCACCACTTTCTGATACGATGTTGTCTGAGCTAAAGTTGTTTGTGGCTGCTTTAAGGTCAGCGAAAGAGAACTCAGAGAAAGATGGGATTCCTCCTCCTCCTCCTCCGCCGCCTACACCACTAGCTCCGCCGCTTCCGATTCCACCGTTATCAGCAGCCGTGGTACCGCCGTGGTGGTTTTGAGATAGTGGTTGCGGCTGAGCTCCATCTTTCCCAAGTGGGTTTTCACCGGAACACAAGGATTGACAACAACCCATCAAAATCTTTTTCTTACCGAAGTCGGAAAGTGTTTCTCTTTCGCTCCTTGTAAGAGAGAGAAAGAGAAGATAGTGGTCGAAACCAAAAAAAAAAATAAAAATTGGATTTTTATTTCTTTCTTTTTCTTTTCAATTCTTCTGTTTTGACTCCTGAGGTAAGTTTCTGAGACATTGTCTCCTTCTTGTCAATTTGGTACCAGTAAAATAGAAAATTAAAATTCAAAGATTAACACTTTGATTATAATTTTGATCATCATCTAAATTATAGGTTTGTTACTATGAAAATAAATTTGTTTCTATTTTAAAAGCTGATGTGTCGTCTTAGTTAGTATCCGTTAACAACATAATAACACTATCTCACGATTTGAAGTTTTACTCCGAAATTCAAATTCTGGGTTAGTTGATGTAAGTTTAGGTATAAAAGAAAGTTTTATATATGAATGCGATAAAGTAACATAGTGCGATGAAAAATAAGCAGTTTTCCCTTCTATTGTTGTAAGAAGATCAACTTTTGAAGTTGAACTCTTTTTTTTTCTTTCTACAATTATGTTTTTGTTAAATCAATGGATTTGAAAACTGAAAAGCCAAAAATTCAGAAGAAGCCAACTTCTTTTGTATACTACTATACTATAATACAATAAATTGATTCCGATGTTCAATGATTTAAAACTTTGTGGTACCAAAAGAGATTTTGGAAAATCACATTATTGCCAGCTCAAATTGTTTGTGATTGGAGTGACTTATCATCAACCATTCCTACTTTTGCTTTCTCGATTTTTTTTTTCTTATTTATTCAACATAACATTCCCATTTCAACCAAGTTTTTTTTCTTCTAATTCTAAGTACCTAGCAACTTATTTAAAAAGGTTCGTACTTAGTGTATAAATGTAAAGAAAAGCGTGTGAAGAAAATATGAAGTTTTAGAAGTTGACTTTGTAACCTTGTGATATTTGGATTTATGTGTTCTTTTGTATTATCGCACTAGTACTTCGTTTATTTTACTAAATTGTTAACGTGCCTTCTAAATAGAGTAAAAGTAAATATCAATTTTCTTCATGGATTTGACAGACTGACATATTTCTTTCCGTTTGAGTTCTGATTATCCTGTTTACCAAAAATGATTATTTCTATGTGTATTCCTTGAAATAAACTAAAATAAATCTCTTGGAATGAACCTTATTTTAAGAAGTTTTACTCTTGACATAAATCTTTAAAAAACAAAAATAAAGAGAGTTTCCTTGGCTTTGGAACTCTGAATGTGTAAGCATTTATTTGGAAACATGATAAGACAATATGGCTA